TATAGAGTCTGTTCAGTATTCTCAGTGGGATCGAGTTGGGTAGACCATTTCTTGCTGTGTAGCCAAAACCAGGAGTCCTCTAGTTTGCCACCTGAGTGAGGGCCTGCCTTCTACAATGGATGCTTCTCAATCTTGAGCTTTACCAGGATTTCACAACATCCCCCCTGGATCCCAAAGGTTTCTTAAAGGTACGCTTTTTGACGTGGAGCCTTGCTATGTTTCCAGGCTGATCTGGAACTCTTGGCCTGAAGCAACCTTCCTGTATCATTTAGCTGTGATTACAGGTGTGAGCCATGCTCACTCTCTCATAAAGACACTTTTATCAGGGATAACCTACACTTTTTTTGTGGCTATGGGATCATACACAAGCCAGGCACCATCTATTCCAACAGTGTACTGATGTCAGTTTCCTGTATGTTTTGTTTCTGTTTTCTGTTTCAGAGTTGTAATTTTATATTCAGACATTCAGAACAATATGCCAGAATTTACATGTGATGCCTGAAGTAAATCAGGTAATCAGTAGGTACCTCATATTTACCAGTCACTTGTATATTTTTTGCTGCAGGCAAAAAAGAATCATAGGATTTCTACCCACTTTCTTCAGTCTACATCTAAATGATAATATGATTTATTTCCAAATACTTATTTTATATATCAGTGACTCTCACTTTATTTTACAAAACATATATAGTTTTTTTCTATTTAGAAATGTAACACTATTATATGCTTCTAAAGGTTAAATTACAGCAGTATTGTTTTGTGTAAGAATAGCATCAATATATTAAAACATACTAAAAATTACCTTTCATGTCTTTTAAATGCTTACTCATTAAAATATTTTTATTAGAACCTTTTATTTATGGTATAGTGCAGTTTCTGTGAAATTTTACTGCCATACACTCCATATCAATGATTTAAAATACCTGCTTTCCATGAGTGCACATGGTTGATAGTTTTAGTTATTTGGACAAGTACTTTTTAAATGGTACATCAATGTTGCATTTCACATTTTATGGGTAAATATTTATCTTACTAAATTTTGGAATTTCATTTTTTGTATAGAATTTTGACATCAGTTGAGATCAGTTTGACATCTGTTTTGCATTTATTTACAAATTAGTAATTTTAAGCATCCTTTCAAATGCTTTTTGCCATTTTTATGTATTTTTGGAGAAATGTCAGTTCAGTCTTTTGTCTATTTTTAAATCAAGTTATTCAACTTTTGTTGATTTTTAAGAATTATTTATGCTACATATTAACTCCCATCACATGTGGTTTGCAAATATTTTCACCTATTTCTTAAGTGACATTGTTACTCCACCAAATGTTTTCTTTGATGTGCAGAAATTTTGAAGTATAATGTAATTCAATTTTTCTGTTCTGTGTTGCTCATGAATTTGATGTCATATCCAAGAAATCAGTACCAAGACCAATGTCATATCTTACCCCTGTTTTTTCTTAAGAGTCATGTTATTTATATATTTTTAAGTTTAGCTATTTTGTTAAAAACTTCTTTTGTATATGGTGCAAGGAAAGAATCCAACTTAAGTTTTTCAGTGTAGATATTCAGTTTTCAGCATCATTTATCTATCTTTGTTTCAGTAGCACATTGCTTTTCTTGTTGTAGCTTCATTCTTGTAGTTTCATTCCATTTTGGTCAGAAGACATACATTGTATGATTTTGGTCTTCTTAAGTTTAATAAGACTTGTTATGTGCCTTACCAAAATATACCAGGTGCAATGAAGAATATGGTGTATTCTGTTGCTTTTGACTGGAGA